AGGTGTACGTGGCTGGCGCCTTAGCCGGTTGAGCTATAGGCGCCGAGCCAGGAGTTATTGTTAAAAGTCTCTCTCTCCTCCCTGACAAATTTGTAGCTTTTTAGTCTTAGCAGACAAAATTATTTTTACTTATTCTGAGATCAGTGCTTCTGGTCTTCGCAATACTTTTGTGGTTGGAGCTCAGTTCCAAAAATAACACCCAGCATAGCTATGCAAGTCCCTTTCAGATTTGTTTTTATTATTATTAAAACAATATTTGAAACCTATAGCAGACTTTCCAGTTTCTCTCCAGCAATTCTCTGAATCAAAGCACTAACACGTCCCCTACAAAGCTACATCTAAACAAGGAGCTCTTCCCAGTTTATATTCTAAAGGTCAAACAAGCAGGATTATTTTTCACAGCAGCCGTTCAGACAGAGAAGAACAAAGCGGCAACACACAGGAACCAAAGCAGCACAGCTCTGGCCCAGAGAGGAACCAAGAGCCGATTCTCCCAAACACCACTGCCCTTCAAAGGACTGAGAAAATGACTTCCAGAAGCATCCCTGGTAACTGTACTGTCCAGCTCACAAACATGTCTGGGGATTGTAAATTCCCAACACTAGGCAAGACCTGACACCAGGCGATCTGTCTCCATGGCAATCTCACCATGTTAATCGAGAATATTCCCTGCACTGCAGTACACCACGTCTCTGGAGAAGCCCCCACGAGGCGATTATGGAATAACTGATCATAACAAGGAAGACAGCTGCAGACAAACCCTAGAGAAACAACACCCCAACTCTGGAGATGCTAGGAGAAGAAAAGGACCACCAAAGGGAGATTAGCATCTATTTTTATTCTCCCTCTTTACATTAAAAGTAGGTTCTCTAAGTTTATCCCCTGCGGCTTATACCTGCAGTCCATAAAGAAGGAGGTTCCTATTATTGTAAAGCATCTGATTTTCTAGACTGAAAGGCTCCCCTTCCCCCACCCCACACTGGAAACCTTTCCTTTCTTTAAATAAGCATCCTGGCATTTACTATTGTCAGATGTAATTACCTTAAGGACTAAAAAGATTTGTGTTTACATAGGAGCATTCACTGGAGCATACCTATAAGACTTACAGAGCATTCTAATTATAAAATGAAAACTCCCAGAGGGCATAAATAATGTTTCTACAAAAAATAGAAATCCATCAATTACAACACCCAAGAATGACAGACTAATCAAAAATTCTCATTAGTGCTATTAAAAATTCTAAAATAGGTTTTTGGGATTTTTTTTTTTTTTTTTGCAAAAGAAAACCATTAGACTGCCAGTAATTCATTAAAATTTCACACATGAAATAGCAACAAGCTAGTTATCCTTTTCATAAGTCGAGTCCCTAAAGCCTCGGGAGACATAGAAAGGTAATTGCATTCTCTCAGCAACTCCAGAGCAGAGATTTGCTGGTCACTCACAGCTTCCGCCAGAAACCACAGCAGATCTGGCAACCAAGAGGTGCTTTCTTTTAATGCCAATTAAATAGGCCCAGTGGCAGACCTAATAGTAGGTAATTTCTATATCAAAGAAACTAAAAGGAAATCTCTTAAGTTGCCAGATGGGTGAGAGCAGCTGGCTACAAGATGTCATTATATAAATGTGATGTTAAAAAAAAAAAGAATCATTCCCTTATGAGATTATTTTGCATGCAAATGGCATCTTTCACCCTAGTTCCTAAAAATACTGTAAGCAGCTTAAAACATTCTCTAATCCCTTCTACAGTAATTTCCTAATAAACTGGTCACCTGGGATTCAGCCTCCTCTTTGCATTCATGACCTCTTGACTAGGCCACAGCAGCCAGCCAGTGGTCAGTATTTCTATTACAGTCCTCAGTGGTGTGTTCTCGAAAGAAAGCAT